CCCTCCCCCGCCTTTCCCCCTCCTCTCCCCCCGCCCCGCCCGCCCCTCAGCCGCTCTGCGCTGGGCCAACATGGCGGCGGCGGCGGTCGGGCGGGACACTTTACCTGAGCACTGGTCCTACGGCGTGTGCCGCGACGGCCGCGTCTTCTTCATAAAGTGCGGCGCGGGAGAGCGGGGACTCGGGAGGGGGTCGGGGCTGGGGTGGGGTGCGGGGCCGGGCGACGTCCCCCGGCGGCGGTGGCGGCGGCCGCGGCGGCCGCGGCGCCGACTAACAGGTGCGCTTTCTCCGCAGCGACCAGCTCCGCCTCACGACCTGGCTGCACCCGCGCTCCGGCGAGCCCGTCAACTCGGGCCACATGATCCGCTCAGGTGGGCGCGGGAGCCCGCGGTGGGCGTTCCGGTGGGGAGGGCCGCGGCGCGGCGGCGCGAGTTTCACCCACTTTTCTCGCGTCCCCGCAGACCTGCCCCGCGGCTGGGAGGAGGGCTTCACGGAGGAGGGCGCCAGCTACTTCATCGAGTGAGTGAGTCCGCTGCCGCCGCACCTGGCTCCCGCGCCCCGCCCGCCGTCCCGGGAGAGTTGGCGCGCGGCGCGGCGGCTGCACGCTGGGGTTTTGTGTGCAGGGGTGTGTGGCGGGCTCGGGGCTCGGCGGGCGGGGTCCTCATCGCCGCAGCGGGACCTCGGCCGGGCCAGGGTGCAGCCGAAGCCGCAGGGGGCAAGCTGCGGGCTGGACTCGAGCGCTGCGTGGGGCCGGGCACGCCTCCCCGCCGGGCTCTTGCAGCTCCGAGCGGGCTGGGAACCGGGTGGGGGCGGTGGAGCCAGGCGCGTTGTCCCGCGCCGAGAGTTGAGGATTGGGAGCGAGAAGAGACCAAGGGATCCCTCTCCACCTCCCGGGGGAGCCTTCGTCTCCGCCGCGTACCCTGGGGTGGGCAGGGGACGTGGGATGGTGCCCTGGCCCCCCTGGCCCTCCACGAGGCCGCGAGCCGGTGGTACTCGAATTCTCCGTCCGCGTCCCCTCAGCCGCTGCCGGACCCGGACAATCGCTCCAGCCTCTGCTAAAAGAAGCTGTAGCGTTTCCGCCAAAGCCCTAGAGCGTTGCCCCCACCGGGTCAGCTGGGTCTGTGGAGTCCGCACAAATTCGATCGCGGTGTTTTGAGTTCGGGAACAGTGCAGACTCAGTGCAGACAGGAGTGTAGTCTTTACTTTCCTACTGCAGAAAGTCACCTGTGTCGCTGTGTGTTTTCCTCTGCCTTCACCCTGTGAGTTCTGAGAGGTCAGGAACTGCCTGCAGCCCTTTGCCCCAGTGCCGGCTGTAGGGTAGGCACTCGGTAAATGTTTGTTCACCAAATGAATGAACTAGTCAAAGTTCTGCACGGTGGTTTGACTAGTACTGGGTGTGTTTTGGGAGACTATGAGTCAGAATTTATTGCTTCTCCAGCTTGGAAACACTAATAGTGAAAGAACGTATTTGAAGCAAGTGCCAGAGCTTCCCTTCCTGCTCATGAACCTTGTAGTCTAGTCCAGGGAAGGGAACAACAACAGAAAGCAAACAGGTAATATCAGATGATGTGGGTATTATGCAGAAAATGGAAATAAGGTCATGTGGTAGCAGGTGACTAGGTGGCTTCTGCGGATTGGGAGATCAGAGGAGGCTTCTAAGTAAGTGACATTTAAAGTTTCATTGACAAGGAGTTGTTAGTGCAGATGTGGGGGGCAGTCTTAAAAGGGAACAGCCAGTTCAAAGACTTCAGGCAGGAAATTCTTCAGGTTCATGCATGGTGGTGCAGGCCTATAAGCCCAACACTTGGGAGGCTGAGGCAGGAAGATTGGCTGAGTTTGAAGCCAGCCTGGGCTACACAGTGAGTTCAAAGCTAGCCTAAACCATGCAGTGAGATCTTGTCTCCAGAAAAAGGTGCAAATAGTCCAGTGTGGCTGGAAGATAGTGAATAAGAGAAAGTGGCATGAGAAGAGTCACAGGTGGTAGGGAGATAAATGGTGGAAAACTTTGTGGGACAGGGTAAAGTTTTCAAGTTTTAGCCAAAGCCCAGGGAAAAGTCATTAGCTGGAGGTTTTTCTGTTTGTTTTTTTGTTTTTGGCAGCATGGGGGATTGAACCCAAGGCCTTTGCACTGAACTACATCCCTAGCTTTTTTTTTTGAGACAGGGTCTCACCAAGTAGCTAAATTGTTGAGTTTTGGCTTGAACTCATGATCAGGTGAGAATCAGGATGCAATGGTTAGTTTTGGAGTGATTATTCTGCATCCTCACAGGGGATGGATTGTAGATGGAACCTGTTGGAGGGAGGCAGGGAGCAGTAGGGGTTCCTGCTGGGGTTGAGGTAAGAGTTGATGGTGGCTTGCTGATCTGGAAGTCCTGGGGATGGAGGGCAGTGGTCAAACTCGGGTTAAGATGAGAATGTACTATTGGTGCACCTTCCCAATGGACTGGGTGCAGGGTCAAAGATGACTCCTGGGCTTTGAATCTCTGCATGGGTAGTGCCTATAGTGATGAGGTAGGAAGCTGGGAGGGGAGCAGGTTTGAGATCGGAGGGAAATGATGTTTTGCCATGCTCTGTGTAAGATGTGGATGTGTCAAACAAGTATATGAATAGAGACTTGGGGCAGAGAGGACAAAGAGATGCATTTGGGTATAATGGATGTTCAAGACCATGGGTATAGACATAAGCACTTAGGCGCAAAAAGACAGAGAGGTGATGACCTGTGTCTTGGGACAGCACAGTGTTTAGTCTGTGAAAGAGGCAAATTCAGCAAAAGAGAGTGAGAAAGGACAAAAAGCTCTGGAGAGTGCGTGGTCAAGGAGCCTCATGACAAAGCCTGGTTAGAGGGCAGAAGAGGAAGAGGAGATAAGGCCAAGTGGTCAGAGGGAAAGGCGTGTCTACCTCAGGTAATTTCATTGCAAAGTGGACTTGAGACATCCTTAGCCAATAATAATTGGAGAGGATGTGGGCTTGAGGGAGGGTTTTTCTTTTTTTTTTTTTTTTAAGGTTTTTTTTGTGCAGGATCTCACTACGCAGCTTGGACTTGTAGTGATCCTCCTGATTTCTGCCTCCTTAGTGCTGCTGGGATTACAGGCATGTGCCAACATGCCTGGACTCCATCGCTAGCTCAGTGTGCCCCGGGGGCAGGGCCGGTGCAGCATGTGGTGCCAGGGGTTGAACCCTGGCCCCTGTACTTACCTAAGCAAGCGCTTTGTGTGCTGAACTATACTGCTGGCCTTGGGTTTTTTCATTTTTGATGGGAGATTATAGCATGAGTTTTGTTTCAATCTGGTAGGGAAGGAGAGATGGATGGTACCGATAATAGGTGGGACCATTGCAGGAGAGTAGTGTTTCTGAGGTGAGAGGGAGCGGTCCAGGGTATTCATCTCACTGTCCTCACACAGGAGCAAGACTTAATCCATTTTCCAGGAGGAAAGGCTATGTGTGTCTTTAAGTATAGGCTCAGCCTTGAGCTGAGGTGGCCTTTTGGACTCCAGTTCAGCCTCATCTGTTTTATCACCTTTGCCACTCTTCTGCTTGTGAGGTACTTGGTGATTTCTTTACAGCTGGTTAGGGGGCCCCCCCCAGCCCCCAAGGCCTTCGCTGACTATTCTCAGGCCTACAGGAAAGCCTACCCAACAGTGTCAGGGATAGCATCCTGTGTCCTCAAAGGCAAACTGTGTACGTCTTAGCTTCTTTTGGGATACTTTTTTGAGAGACATAAGAATTTGGAAATAAATGTTTGGTTGTATCCCACATTAAGAATGTCTGATTTCTGTCTCCTTTCTTAGATTTACTGTGACATTTCCAAATGTTTGGTTTTTTGTGTGTGTTTATGGGGGAGCCTCTCTAATGAATCAGTAAAGATGGACAATATATTGGCAGAGCTGATTTTTTTTTCTGATGGTTCCTTGGGACAGAAAAGTTCTGTGAGATTTTTAGAATAGATCAATGGCTCCTGGTACTTAGCAGAGGTTTTTGTTTTGTTTTATAGTGCTAGGGTTCCAACTTGAGGCCTTCCATGTGCGCAGCAAGTGCTGTACTATTGATGTACATCTGCAGCACTTGAAGAGTTTATGTTCTCTCTAGAGACCATTTCTTGAAGCAAAAAACTGAAGTAAGGTGGTTGGATTTTGGTTCTTTTATTTCACGACACAGTTCTAGGAAACTAATAGCTTACTTGCATTTATGTGGAAATTCTGAGCCTTTCTTATTGTTGAAGGTTAAGAAAAGGTTCTCCCAGGTTGGCAAGCTTTGGCATAACCCATACTTCATATTTCACTTTCAGATGCTTTTCTCAAGGATTAAAAACTGGTTCATAGGTTTAGTGTGAGGTTCTGTGAAAAAGGACTAAACTTCTATAGAAAGCTGAAGGGCAGGCGAGATAGCACAGCAGTCTAACCATCTACTTATTTTTTTTTCAAAATTTTATTGATAAACAGATAGCAATGAGACAGTTTCAAATCAAATCGGAAGTACAGTTTCAACAAATAACACACTGCATATATTCTTCTTAGTGATCAATTGCTGTACAAGATGCGGACTTGAGATCCTATTTACAAACACCATTAGAACAAATCATTCTATTCCTTAAGAGAATGCAACTATATATCTACCCTAACCACTTTGAATACACAGATACAAAATGGACATTCAGCGGTATACCCCATTTTTTCTAAGTTCCGTTGTTGAATATTATAGGTGTGTAAACTCAGCAAAATATTCTAAAAGAGTCCAGTAGCCCATAATAGCATTGTGTCTTCTGTTTAAGTGGCAATGTCAGAAATTATTGACCTGAGTCCCCCACAGCTCAACATAACAACATGGCTTTACTTCCTATATTTCGTCTTCATACTTTTCTGCTGGATGGCTAACCACCTACTTAGGCAAGCTTGGGCAGGTGCAGGGGACCACGGTTCGATCCTCGGCACCACATGCTGCGCCAGCCCTGCCTGCAGGGTGGGCTGAGCAGGCCATTAAATAAATAAAAAATAAAATACAACCATCTCTACTAGCTGATAATCTTAAAAAAAAAAAAAAAGCTGAAGGAAGGATGGAGGACCGTTATATATGCCACAATCTCTACAAAAGATCTGAAAAATCTTTAGAAGACCAAATGCAAGTGCTTAAGGCTCTTTACCTACAGGAGGAGTAGTGTGTTGTGGGGGAGGGATGCCCCAGTTTACAAGGCTGTGTGTGTGAAGAGTGTGATGTAGGTTTCTTGTGCTTTGATGAGGATTGGGCATCTTGTGCCTCAGTGGTACTCTTTCTATTCTTGTGTCTAGGGCAGTAAATTCAGGACTTCTTGAGTTGAGAACTTTGGGAAAAGATCATTTAAGAGAGCACTTCAGGATGTGGAATATGGGGTGATGAATGAGGTGCCACTCCAGTTTTGTGTCCTCAGAGGTCAGCACTGGTTTGCGTTTTTCTGCTCAGTCTAAGACAGCAGCATCTCAATAAACTGGCATGGTATCTTACGTAAATATTGCCAGGGGAAAAACCTGGAGGAATATGGTTTTATT